GCTTTTCCACAATATAGCTGTTCCTAGCATAGACTGCACTCTTTGATCATATTGAAAGTATTAGATCATACTGTGGAATGTATCCCTTGGCAAAATTACAAGGCATAAGAATAAGGGTTACCTATAAATGACCTTAAAAGAGTTAATATACTTCTAGGCATGAAGTAATGCACAGTATATAGTCATGGACAGTATTAATACCATACAAATAATTCACAATATCTTCACAGTGCAGAAAAGCTACAATACATCCAAAGCCTCTGCAAACACATTCACTTTTTTCAGAATTATGTGTTTTACTATAAATGTCTTATTAAAATAGTTTTATAACATATATGCCTACATGTAGCCCTGCTACTATTTAATCTAGTGATTTTGATCAATGATACAATTTGTATTTTGAGTACTACTGAAATATTTCCTAATTTTCTTAAAATAAATTTGTGAAATATGGTTGAGAAACATCAACAGATTTTCTTTCAAAATAACATGTTTCTAAAATTCTCAATCCAACAATAGTATAAAAAGTATAATTTGTATAATATCAGAGGGCTCCGCTCCATTATGCATGTCTGAGACTTCTCAGGATAGATTAATATTTTATGTAAGGGATTAGAATCAATCATCATATGTACAAAATAAGAAGAGTATAGTAGTAGTGACCCCATAGGTAAGTCTAAACCAGATTTTTCATTTTGACAGGGTCATTAAATTTATATTTTGTAAAGAAAGTAATATATTTTACAAAACTGTTGTATTCTTTGCATTCTTATGATTAGACTTTATACCTTCTAAACTGTTCTCTTTGGGTAGCACTTGCATTTTATGTCCTTCCTTAAATCCGGTTTTTATTAATGACTAATTTGTTAAGCCATTGTATTGGACACCCTTGCATTATGGTATGATTACCTTCATATTTACTATAATCATTTGTTTATCCCCAAATGGTAGATCAATGCCTTGATTATCAGTTAGGGTCACAAATACTCAGGAAAGTCGTGGGGTCACTTTACATGCATTACAACACATTAAATCCCTGTGTGGATGCTGTGATTCAAAAGTAAAGTGGCCATAGCTCATGGCCAACAAGAAAACTAAGGCCATTTTATTCTGAATGATAGCATTCCCCTGAGGTTTAACCCTTTTGTTCTTTCACTGCTTGTTAAAACTTCCCCTTGGAAAATATAGTGTTCAATAGTTGCTTTAACTGGATACACCATAAAGACCATGAATAATTAGGTTTCTAACCAGTTCAACCATTAAGTATTCATAGAATCATATATACAGAGAAACATAGAAAACGAGGGTTGGAAGGGACCCCAGGAGGTCACATCTAGACCAACCCCCTGCTCCAAGCAGGACCATCTCCAACTAGATCATCTCAGCCAAGTCTTTGTCTAGCCAGGTCTTAAACACCTCCAGGGATGCAGATTCTACAAACTCTCTGGGGAGCCTGTTCTAGTGCTTCACCACCCTCCTAGTGAGAAAATAATGTAGCTTGATTGTACAGGCATTTAAACTAGCCGGTGGTAATAGTCTGTGACATAATGGTTAATTCCACCAGGATTCTTGTAAAGAAAAGGAGGCCCTTACTAGGTGACATATTTGCGTGGAACACAGGATTCTTGATATATTTAATGATTTTGTCAATCTGTTTGCTTTCCATTTCATATTCCCACTGAAATGGACCTGCTACACACATGTAACCATGATGATGATGTCATCCCCTCTGAACATATTACTTGCTTTCATGGTATTTTAGAAATGCTGTAACTATCTTCACCAGTTCTTGGGTATGTTTCTTTCCATACTGATGGTCTAATGGGGCTTCTTCTGCCTCATTTTTGTCAAAGCTTAAGGATGAAATCCTGCTTCATTAAAGCCAATGCCAAAAACTCCCACTGACCTCCATAGTACAAAGATTTTGCCCTGTGTTTTCTTCCGGTATAACATAACAAACGGGAGACAAAGAGTGCTGAGAAGAGAGTTGCTTTTATTTATTAACTTCTGCAACATGCCACTGGTCAAGCCGTTGTCACAGGGGACCACAGTGGCTACTCTTACACTTGGGCACATGAAAGCTTATGATATAAACCTTGCTGTAGCGATATGTTTGAAAAATGATTGATATGCATCCCACAGGCTCAAACATCAGAAAGCATATTAAAGAAATCCCAAATGCATGTGTTTTATTTTAAAATCTTGATTTTAAAGACTAACACATGTGGGGTGGGAGGTGGGGGGGGGCAAATTCGTGTTTTTTGAATGCCTGAGGGTGTGTCTACACAAGACATTTACTGTGCAGTGGCTTGTTACTACTGCGCAGTAGTGTTGCTGGCCACACACTGTTGCAATGCTACTGCACAGTACTAACAAGCTACTGCGCAGTGAGTGTCACTAGGCAACCGCACCAGGATGCTACTGTGCAGCAACACTGGTTACTGCACAGTCATTTAGTACTTGGTTATACAAGTACTAAATAACTGCACAGTGGGTGGCTCATGCAGAAGCGCCCACTAAGTATCAATACTGAATTCATTCCAGGGACATTATAGCACTTGTGTCACATACACTGTCATCTTTTGTGGATTATTTAGATCTCAAATGTTGGCATCATTTATGGTGTGATGGTGGTTGGTGTTCCATTGTCAGTGTAAACGGTTTGCACGTATTGAATTTTTCTCTGAATTACCTGTGAATGTGGAATAAGTTTGTGAGTAAAGCTTTAATCAGTACTTTAAACCAAGTCACTGTGTTGGAACACACTCAGTTTTTAATACTTTTCTCTCACCTTTTGAAAACAGTGTAACAGTGCCCAGTACGTTTTATTACTGGTATTTAGATATTGAATGATTAGTCTGGAATTTCCATTCCTCAGCATATCCAGGCAGCTTTATACCACTTTGCAACCTCCATAGGGAAGACTCTGGTTATTTTGTTATAAAGTACCTTCTAGTGGAATAGCCATTCTTGCATGGGGAAGGATGGTCAACTCTATAAGTCAGTCTTATACTAGTATAACTGTATTCACATCAAGCCTTTTGCTAGTATAATAATTTTGTCTAAAAAAGGCAAAAAAAAAAGGGCAATAATGAAAATAGTTATGTCCATAAAACTTTAAAGGGCAGAATAGGGGAAACGTTCAAAACAGTATTACTCAAATTAGAATCCTCCTTTGTATTCCATGTTATAGATGCAGATTTGTACTTACACAACTCACAGCAGACAGTAACCACGTTTCTGAGTAGCAGCCACTTTAATTTCTGCTGGACTGCAGCATGGAAGAACTTTGGTGCTACAGTAAATACCAGCACCTCACTGTGTCCTTTGTTTCCTTTTGGTGATTTTAGTTTGCAAGACCACCGCTAGCTGAGCATCAATAAATTGGACCATTACATCCTGGAACATGTATGGTCAAACAACAGTATCATCTGGTCATTTCCCAATTCAGGTGGCATGACTTGTTCCCTTCTCCTCTTAGCAAGTAGCTGTGTTCTAGGCATCTCCAGCTGATGGCAGGCTCTAAACTGTTTGTACTAGGTCTCAGTAACTTGGTCTTTTTTTCTGGGCTAGGTGCCATAATGCTATTGAATTTGGTCCGCATAGATTAATTTTAGGCATACTCTTCTCTTTTTCTCCAACCATTTAGCTGGGCTATGAACCAAATAAGTCTCACAGGTTTTTTTTCCTTAGTGATTACTATTTTAGATTACTATTTTATTTATTATTGGGGGTGTTATTTGTTTTGTATGACCTATACTGGGACAGCCTTGTTCCTTCGATCAGGTTCTTTTTGGGAGACAATTGGTTGGAAGTATTTGTTTTGCCCATATTCTCAGGATTGCCAGATTCCTCCACTGGATTCTGTGGTGGTCTGTAACCCTTGGAAATCCTTCTCTAGGCAATTTTCCAGCTCCTTAATTCCTTACTGAACCTCATCTTTGATTCCAACCGGTTCCAAGTTGGACAAAAGTTTTTTTTTAGCACAACTTATGTCCTGGAAAATGTGTTGAATCCACATTCATCGAATTGCCGCTCTTCTCTTTGATCCCGATTGCCAGGCCGTATTGTACATTATAGCCTGGCGGCAGCTCTTCTGATTTTGAATCCAGCTGGGTTTTTATTGTCAGCCGACTGGATCTTACTTTTCAGAGCCTCTTTTATATTTATCCTCAGCTCCTGTACTTCTTCCTGGCCAGCTTGTATTGCTTTTGGAGCTGCTTTTTTGAGCACAATTTATTTCCTGGAAAACGTGTTGACTACACATTCATTGAATTGCCGCTCTTCTCTTTGATCCTGATTGCCAGGCCATACTGTACGTTATAGCCTGACAATCCAGTTGAGTTTTCATTGTTAGCCCACTGGATCTTGTCTCTGCCCATGCTTCCTTTTCAGAGCCTCTTTTCTATTTGTCCTCAGGTCCTGTACTTCTTCCTGGCCAGCTTGTATTGCTTTTGGAGCTGCTCCATCGCCGCGGAAGAGGCACACCCAGTTCCTCTCCTCGGCCTTCGCCAGCCCCTGTACATGGAGCACCTCGTTGGGGAGTCATAATTTAGGAGGTGATGCGTGCCAGTTTTGGAAGCGAGGGAGGAGCACCAGGCCCCACTCCACAGGGCGTGTGAAGGGGGGTGCAGGTGTGCAGGAGCACAGTGACGGCCCTTTCTGACAGGGCCATAAGCCCCAGGTGGGTTTTCTTCTGATCCGTGCCCTCTGTGAAGCTGAGGGCAGGGCTGCGGCCTGACCCCCTAGCATGAGTTGCCCTGAAGGGCAGCCATTGCCTGCTGAGGGCCAGGGCTCGGCTGGCTGCCACCCTGCCAGGTCTCTGAGGCGTGGCCCCGCCCCCGGGACGGGAACTAGGCGGCCGTGGTCCCGCCCCCCGAGGCTGGGCGGTGGTTGAGCGCACGGCGTGCGTTGCCGTGGCAACGCGAGGGGCAGGAGGCGGGGCACTCCCCCCTCCCGTCCCCTCCCCGGCCCGAGCCCCGGCCACACTACATCTCCCAGCAGCCCCCGCGCCGCGTGAGGCGACTATGGCGCTGGCCAGGCTGGCGTGAGGGGCCGCGGGCGGAGCAGAGCGTGCAGTAGCCGCCTCGTGCGGGCCCATGCGGCGCCCCCGAGACCATGGGATCCCGCATCAAGTGAGTGGCCGGCAGAGAGGCCGCGGGGCAGCCCCCCGGCGTGCACGCCCCCCACGGGGCCTGCAGGGACGGGCGGGCGCTGTTCTCCGGGCGCCCCGGGGCTGGGTGGGGCCGAGCCGGGCGGGGAGTAAGGCCGAGGCGTGGGGGTTGGACAAGGCCTACAAGGGCCGCTGTGGAGCGCGGGGCGCCTGCACCTGAAATGCTGGGGGCTGCAAAAGAGGGTTGTTTTTTTGGGGGGGGGGCTCTCCTCTCTTTGCTGTGTCTTAATGCTGTGAGTTTAGCTACACGGAGTCCACCCCCAGGTGGCCTTGCGCATGCCATGTTCTCCAGGAGGATCTTCTCACGGAAAGGCTGGACACATGTGTCACGCCACTGCGGTGAGCCGGGTGCCTGGCGACGTCCTGATGATGCTCGGCGCCTCCCCAGAGGTGCCGTGGAGCGTGTTATGGTGGTGCCTTTCCCTGGCTTCGTGCCCCCCTTGGCCTTAGACGGGACATGGGGCAAGATGAGCCCATAGATGCTGGGGTTGGAAAGGACCTCAACAGATTGTTGATAAACCCAGCCCATGCCAATTCTTGCATTGTTGGGTTGGACGAAGAGAGGCGGTGGGTGCTTTCTGTCCTTTTATTCAGACCCACTTACTGCGTTGGCATGGGTTGGGGTCACCATCCGTGATGCTGCTGAAGTTCTGGAGTTGTGCTCCAGCATCAGGTAATGGCTACAGGAGAATCGCCTTCTGTCTGTTGCTTGCGGAGATGGACCTTGCAACCACTCCCTGTGCCGTTGTCACATCAGGATTAATTACTGCAATGCATTCAGTATTAGGCTAATCCTTCAGTCTGTTTGCCAGCTGCGGTTGGCACAGAACGTGTTAGCTTGTCTGTTTTGTTTGCGTATTGAGCCTCTCTCTCTTTTTTTTGTTTTGTTTGTTTTCCATGTGGCTTTTGATATTGGGGTTGTAGTGTATAGTGGTCATACATCTTGGCTATGCTGTTGTAGTCAGCCAGGGCTCCTGAATTGAGACCCTGTTGATGACAGGCACTCTGTTAGGACAGCCGTGTTATTGGAGCTTGGTTTGTCACAGCTTGAGTTCATTGGCCCTAAAGATATACGCAAGGCCTTCTTTTCCCACTCCCTCAGAAGGAAACACTAGTGATTTTGCAGAGTTAAGTAGTGGTTATGTGGGCCTCTTCTAAGAATTGTACGGGGAACCCAGTTAATATTGTTTGCTGCTAGGTTAGTGGTTTGGCTTTTGGGGGAGTAATTGATACATTTCTTAGTGTATTTGTAAATACAATTGTTGTGTGCCTGCAATAAGATTGAACTTTAAAACCTGCCTTAAAATGAGTACAGAAAGAGGGAGTCTCCCCCCAGTGAGAGACTCCATGGCAGGGCTGCCTGCTTTGCAGCTGCTCTGTAAGTCGCCCAAAGATTTTTCTGTTGAACATCCTCATTACAGCAGC